GGAATATGGCTGGATTTTTGATGCGTTCGCTCTGCAGGTGCACTCCTAAGTTGGTTCTATGTAGAATCATGTTGTCCAGAAGTGAAGTTTATTTCTAAACTAATTTCGAGAGGACCACATGCTTATGATTGTTTGCGACTGATCCCGCTTTATCCAATTCATTATTCATTAATCAGACGATTTCTAAGCCACTATAAATACCCCAAGTTCCATATAACAGCCATTTGAAGAATCCCCCTTCCAACCCTACTTCTCCTCCTTTTCTAGATGGGTGGCACGATGGCCCAGTGATTAGCACTGTTGCCACACACCAAGAACGTCACTGGTTCTAGTCCTTACCAAGCTATTCGACGTTTCTGTGCAGAGTTTACACGTTCTCCCTGTCCTCACATGGGTTTCCACTGGGTTCCTGGGTTTCATCCCACCATCCAAAAACATGCAACTTAAGCTAATTGAATAATCCAAATCAGCACCATAGACATGCACTTAGTAAGTAATTATCTCTCTAGAGGAATCTGTTCATTAGCTACTACAGCAGGGAAGTTCTCGAGATCTACCTGAGCTCAAACTCCCCTCTCGCCTTGCAAATGGGAGGGAGCCCTGGACTCGAGGATCTTATGAGAGAACTTATCTCCTGGGATAGCATGCCAAACAAACTTTTTAATCAATCATCAGCTAAGTGTGAACTCTTGAAGAACCCTTTATTGCTGAAATGTTTCTTTGCTGGAGTTTATTGTTCTTTGCAGAGGTGTGAACCTACAATGGTCACTGGTTCGATTTGCTTGCGATTATCATGCCATCGATTTGGTTCAATCCACTATCACAGTGCATCATGATGAATTGATGATGCTTTCCAAATACAATTTTATATTTTACGTCATGTACATTGTACAGGGAATTAGTCTCCTAGGACAATAATGAAGGGTGATGGTCTCTATGCCACCCCTTGCAAGATGCCACCCTGAGCGAACTAAATATAGCGCATTTGAGATAAATGACGTAAGTACGTAACGGTTTGAATCTATTACTGAACCGATTCTGAATTGTCCTCCCTAGTTCTTTGTGTCCCGCCTTTTTGTTTGTCATTTGAACCTCTAACTGACAAAGCAGCTCATACTGTATATCATGTATCCTGGACAAAGCCGTATTCTGAGCAGATGCTGTGGCAGTCATGGAGGAGTGGAGAGCATGAGACTGATTCCTAAAAGACCTCAAGTCTCCGCATTGTTCCTGTGGGGCAGCCTGAACACCCGCCGGTGACCTTTTCACACCTGCAGCTTCTCCACAATGGCGTTCAGCGTTCTCCAGCCTCCAGCGTCTAGACTGCAGCTCTGCACAAAAAGTTTGGCCAGAAGAGTAGTGGTTGTGCACAACTGAGCTTGGTTTCTCTTGCGGTGTTTTTGTCCTTCACTTTCATCAAATGCTGAAGGTATTTTACTCATCACTGTTGCCACTGGCTTGCTTGGTTAGGACTTGTAGAGCTGCGCATCGATGGAATTGCTCTTTAGTGTTTTGACTTTCAGCAGTGAAGATTAGTGTGGTTTATAAACTAATTTCGAGAGGATCCAAGCTTATGATCAACACGGCTGGCTCCTCATTAGCTGCGTAATCTGCCCTATTAGATGATTATGGAAGCATTATAAATAACCAGAGTTTTTTACTCCAGTTATCTTCGCCTTGAACCTCCCCCCCTACTTCCTCCCCCTTTTTCGATAGGGCGACCCGGTGGCCCAGTGGCTAGAACTGTTGCCTCACAGCAAAAACACCGCTGGTCCAACCTCCTATAGGGCTGGTTGGTGTTTCTGTGCGAGTTTACATGTTCTCACTGTGTTCGCGTGGGTTTCCCCCGGGTTCCCCGGTTTCCTCCAACTGTCCAAAAACATAAACCATACCCAATCAACTAAACCAAATTATCACCGAAGACAACCTTAGTTTACACTTCTTACACGGCGACAAGCAGGGGTGTTCTCGAGACCTACCTGAGCTCGAACTCCCCTCTTACCCTTCTAACGAGAGGGAGCCCCAGGCTTGAGGATATTACGAGGTCAGGACTCTCTTCCGGGACAGCATGCCAAATACGCTTTATTGATTATCAGCTAAGTGTGAACTCTTGAAACTGAACTGAACTAAACTGAACCTAAATTCTGAAAACTGGACTGACAGTTTCAATTTATTAGAACTTCTATGTTAAGCTGCTTTGACACAATCAACATTGTAAAAGTGCTATAGAAATAAAGATGAATTGGATTAAATTAAATATTTAATTGAGAATAAGCTCAATCTTCAACTAAAGACTGTCAGCATTTCCTCCAAAGGTAACATGATTTCTGCCTTAAAATGTTAAAATGTAACTGTTAAAATGTAACTTTCCACCTGTCATTGAGAGATATTTCAGTACTCTGCTGGGACTCTGCATTTAAATACTCTGTGAAGGACATTCAGTCTATATTTTCCTCCATCTGCATCACAGCTCAATCTTTCACCTTGTGCTGTCATTGACCAATCATCAGCATTGTCATGACATTCTTTTCTTTTCAGAGTGGCTGTCACGTGATGCATTGGTAAACAGAAGATTGGCTCAAAATTCCCATCGAGATATTAAAAGTATTATAGACAGCATTGGCTCAGTTGTTAGGGGTCACAATGATCAGGTCTAAAAACGCTTACATTTGGTTCCTCCTCACCAAACTCATGCAGAATTTGAATTATATGGTTCATTGTGGATGTAGATTGATGGACAACTGGACTAACAGATAGATGGATAAAAGATCAGTGAAAATTGGATGACCATGGACAAATGAATAACCATAGACAAAGAAGCAGGCTGGCAGATAGGTAGGTGAAAGGATGGATAGATTAATTAATTAATTAATAGATGAATGGGCACTTAGATTGCAGATATAGTGGAAAGGAGGGATAACGAGATGGATGGATGGATGGATGGATGGATGGATGGATGGATAGAAAGGCTTATTGGAAGAGAGGAATGGATAGATTTAAAAGCAGATTGACAAATAGAAACTTAAGAAGATGGATTACTGTAAGGATGGATGGATGGATGGATGATTAGATGGATGGACAAGAGGACTAGCAGGTGAAAAAATATATAAATGGATGGATGGAGGGATAGATCAAAGATGGATGGACAAGAGGACTAGCAGATAGAAAAGTAAAAAGATGGATAGGTGTGTGGATGGACAAACAAGCAGACTTGCATATAGATTATAGTTTATAAATATAGTTCAAAAATGAATGGATGGATGGATGGATGAAGAAGATGAGGACTAGCAGATGGATACGTGAAAAGATAGATGGATGGAGGGACAAACAAGCGGACTGGCATAGATTTAAAACGTATGTATGAATGATGAAGAAGTGAACTGACAGATGGGTGGATGAATTAACAAACTTAAACTGTCATATAGATGGATGGATCTATGAGAAGATGAATGGAAAAGAGGACAAGCAGATAAACAAGTGAAAATATTGATGGACAAACAAGCAGACTGGCAGATAGTTTTTTTTTTTTTAAATGAATGGATGGATGGATGTATGGATGGATAGATGGATGGAAGACGAAGTGGACTGGCAGACAGGTGAAAAGATGGATAATCAGATGGGTGAATGGATGAACAGGAGGACTAGCAGATTAGTAAAAAGATGGATGGATGTACAAACAAGCAGACTGGCAGATAGTTAAAAGATGTATGGATGGATGATGACGAAGTAGACTGGCAAATAGGTGAAAGGATGGATAATCATGGAAGGATGAACAAATGTGAGGTGCCATATAGATGGATGGGTGGATCAGATGATGGATGGACAAGAGAACTGGAAACCAGATAACTAAAAAACTGATGGATGGATGGATGGATGTTTGAAAAATTGGATGAATGGATGGTTGGATTAATAGATGGATGGATGGTTGGATTAATGGATGGATGGATGGATGGATGGTTGGATTTATGGATGGATGATAAAAAAGTGGACTGGCAGATAGGTGAATAGAAGGATTATTGGATGTATGGATGGATGAACAATTGTGATAGATAGATAGATAGATAGACAGACAGACAGACAGACAGACAGACAGACAGACAGACAGACAGACAGATAGACAGATAGATAGATAGATAGATAGATAGATAGATAGATAGATAGATAGATAGATAGATAGACAAGAAGACTAGCAAATAGATAAGTGAATAGGTGGATAGATGGATGGATGGATGGTGAAAAAGTGGACTGGCAGATAGCCTAGGTGAAAAGATGGGTAATAGGATGTAGAGATGGATGGATGGATGAACAATTGTGACAGACAGACAGATAGACAGACAGACAGACGAATGGACGGACGGACGGATGGACAAAAGGACTAGCAAATAGATAAGTGAATACATAGATGGATGGATAGATGGATGGATGGATGGATGGTCAAACAAGTGGACTGGCAGATAAATTGTTTAAAAATGGATGGATGGTTGGATAAATGAATAGATAGTTGGATAAATGAATGGATGGATAATAAAAAATGGACTGGCAGGTGAAAAGACGAGTAATTGGATAGATTGATGGATGGATGGATGGATGGATGAATGGATGGATGGATGGATGGATGGTTGGATTTGTGGATGGATGATAAAAAAGTGGACTGGCAGATAGGTGAAAAGAAGGATTGTTGGATGTATGGATGGATGAACAATTGTGTTAGATAGATAGATAGATAGATAGATAGATAGATAGATAGATAGATAGATAGATAGATAGATAGATAGATAGATAGATAGATAGATAGATAGATAGATAGAAAGGCTAACTGGAAAGGCTAAATGATGGATGGATGCTGATGGCTGGACAGACAGGCAGAGAGTTGTAGCAGATTGATAGTCGTTGTGTAAGTGCACTCGTCATCTTAAAATAGCAGACAGGTGAGACTGCTGAAAAGATGATTGTCTAATAATCACACCTGGTTCACCTGCGGCTGAGTGACAGGAGAGCTGGAGGCTGCAGCCGCTGAATAATGACCGGAGCGCTCAGTCAGTCAGTCAGTCAGAGTGTTCAATGGGTTAATTCATCATCTGTGAGGAATCTCTCTGCTTCTGTCTCTCACAGAAGCTGCTAGTTGCTGGTTTTGTGACTGTTAATGCCCACCAACAGCTCGTGGACGATAATAATCCAGCCGGACTGTTGATTTGACAGCGATGTTTATTGATTGTTTTATGAGGCTCGTGTTTGTGGATGGCAGTTGAAAATCTATGAGAAGCTTTTTGCGATGTGAAGCAATTAAGGTCTGGAGGTGTGAGCTGGAATTCGCTTGAGATCATGGAAGTAATGAAGAATCCGGGGGATCATTAGTGCTGATTGGAGTTGGAGGAAAAGTCCAACTGTTTTTATTGTTTTTGGCTGGAAGTCGGAAGCGTGTTTTTTTCGGATAACAATCGGGGAAAGGGACCAGTGTCCACGTTCATTCGCACACGATGGCTAAAAATAATAGTGTGTTTAATCGCGAATGAGAGCTGGAGAATTTCTTCTCAATTCTGCGACAATCTGTGATCCAGATTTTAGCAGCGGGATAATCTGGATCCTGCAGTGGCTCGGATCATCAACCCTTCGGATCTGAGATATCGGTTTCACAGATCGCCCATCATCAAGCACTAAAGGTAAGAGAGAAAGAGAGTTTATACATTAAATGTCTGGAGTAGGTTTGTGTGGCATGGAGGCTTTGATGGGCAGCGTCATTGCATTAACTGTAGCCCGCATTTCTACACTTAGGCAACCTGTTGTTTTAATGGCTTTTCTCTCTCATGATCGATTAGCCGGACGATTTATTTACAGTCGTATAAAACTGCACACGGGATTATGACTTGCATTATGTAGTCAATCTTTTTGATGTCTTAAAATATGAATTTTAATACGGTTTAATTTTAATAATATTGATATTATACAATATTATTTTTGACTTTATACATAAATACCATAGCCGTTTACATTACATATAGTGAATAGTTATTTATCCAAATAATAATAATAATAATGATAATAATAATATTTTATGGCTATTTTAAGGAACACACACACATATGTAACCTATATATATATATATATATATATAATTGATTCTATTTATTTATTGCTTTTTATTTCAGTGAGTTCAAGCATAATTTTTAAGCAATAGTAAGAAGATTAATATTTTTAAAGAAATAATATATTACATATTTATTATATTCAATATTATATATTCAATTTCTTTTTCGCCTTTGTCCCTCTATAAATCTGGGGTTGCCACAGTTGAATGAACCACCAACTTATCCAGCATATGTTTTATGCAGCGGATGCCCTTCCCGCTGCAACTCATCACTAGGAAAAATCTATACACACTCATTCACACACATACACTACAGTCAATTTAGCTCACCCAATCCACCCACAGCCTATGTCTTTGGATTTGTCGGGGTAACCGAAACACCCGGAGGAAACTTACGCGAACATGGGAAGAACATGCTAACTATACACAGAAATGCCAACTGACCCAGCTAGGACTGTGCTACTCACTGCGCCACCGTGATGCCCCTATTGTAGATTTTAAAGAATAGAATTACAGTCCAAATTAATAATAATAAATAATAATACTAAAAAAGAAATAATAATAAATAATGATAATATTAATAAATAATAATAATTATGATAATAAAAATAATAATAATAATATGATGATGATGATGATGATGATGAAAGACTTTTATAAAAAAGTAGGAAAATATAAATTTTACCGTTAATAACAAAAATATATACATTTTAAGTCTTAAACTTATAATAACTAAGCATATTTATAATAATCTTAAGTAAATAATATGAGGTTAAAACAATAACCTTCCTATCATTGTTATATCCCTTAATAATAATAATAATAATAATAATAACAATAATAATAAACTATTATTTATATAATTTTTGTATTTTTATTTGCTATATCTGTTTACCAATTTATTTTCATTAATATCTCTTTTTTTGTATCATTTTGCTCTGCATTCCCTAAAGCTGTGCAAAGCACAAACACCATTATGTATAATTTACTGCTGGCACTGTGGGCAAATTATCCACCTTACTCTCATTTGACAAGTCAGGTGGTGCCAGCTAACACCCCCAACCACCAACACCTCCACCTCCACCCCCATCAGAGACTAAAGTGATGGACATGCTAATGACTAGAGGACCTGGAGGAGCGCTGTGAGTGTGGTTCAGTCCAGGGGGCTGGTCAGAGACAGAGTGTATGTGTGTATGTGTGTGTGCTCTTTGCGGAGCTGCAGAGGCAGGACTAAGTCACCGAGCCACTATTATGATCCCACCGATGACACACCGCGTCCCTCACCAGAGTCTGACATGAGGGAGACGGGATGAATGACTGACTACCTGCTGAAATATTAACCAGGGCTTTGTGCTGCTCGGGCAGAGGAGCAGCGGTGGAACATAGTGTGGGACAGTCTGCCGTGGACTCCGAGCTGGAGAGCGCTGATAGATGGAGGTCACCAATCTGGATCCAGACCCTCGGGCGGAGGGGACTGAAGGAGATGAGGGGCTAGGGAGTCCTGGGAAAGAGCCTGTTGTGCTTGAGTATGCTGTAGACTTTGATTCATATGGGTAAGCAACAGGGATGACAGCTGCCGTCCTGGGATCTTACCGCTCTGAGATGCAGAAAACATGGTTAATGTGTTTGTCTGTGTTCGTAGATTTCTTTAATGAGAGTAGTGAGGTTAGAGGTGCTTTTCTTTATGCGTGATCTCTTTAAAGTGTTTGTATTGATTTTTCTCTGGTCTGTTCTTCGCACGGTAGGTTGGTTTTGTAGGAGGTTGAGATGAAGATCGAGTTATTTTGACATGATGTGGAATGACATTTTGGCTTTTTTCTCCCAGTGACTTTGTAAAGCACAGCGCCCTGTGATTTAATTAAAGAATTCAGACTTTTTCTTGTTCAGATACGCTGTAAATATTGCTGAGTTGTTTTAACCCACTTTGGGTCAAATACGGAAAAACCAAACAGGTGTTTAAAAACTTCATCCAAAGATTGTGTCAATATTTAAAGCAAAATTGGTTTAAAACGTCCCATCAGTTATTAGAGTGTAAACTCCTAAAATACTGGGTTGTATCGACCCAGTCCTGTTGAAAATATGGACAAAAACAACCACTTAGGTATTTTTTTTAATTGAATGTATTATGTACGGTTGAAGTCAGAATTATTAGCCCCCTGAATTTTTTAGCCCCCCTGTTTATTTTTTTCTCCAGTTTCTGTTTAACGGAGAGAAGATCTTTTAAATACATTTTTAAAAATAATAGTTTTAATAACTCATTTCTAATAACTGATTTCTTTTATCTTTGCCATGATGACAGTGAATAATATTTTACTAAATATTTTTCAAGACAGTTCTATACAGCTTAGTGATATTTTAAAGGCTTAACTAGGTTAATTGGGTAACTAGGCAGGTTAAAGTAATTAGGCAAGTTATTTTTTAAGTTATTTTTTAACTATAGTTTGTTCTTTAGATTATCGGGAAAAAATGCTTAAAGGGGCTAATAATTTTCACCTTAAAATGGTTTAAAAAAAATGAAAATAGCCAAAGTAAAACAAATAACTTTCTCCAGAAGAAAAAAAATATTATCAGACCTACTGTGAAAATTTCCTTGTTCTGTTAAACATCATTTGGGAAATATATGATAAAGAAAAAACTTCAAGGAGGGCTCATAATTTTGACTGTAATGACCAAATTTAACCCAGTGTCTGTGTGTTGTCCATATTTTACCCAATTTTGTTTGTCCTTAGATACCCGATGGGTGTGTATGGGTTATATGCTGTATTTGTTGTAAAAATGGACATACCCAATTTAATTTAAATGTTTGGAAAAATTTACCTGATGTTGGGTGTCTCCATGTTTGATCTAACATTGTGTTACAATGACCTAGCATTTTTTTAGAGTATGCTTGTGTTTTAGACACAGCTGTTTTTCTAGGAACTTTGAACACTGTTGGATTGGAAAATGTTGCCCTTAGTTGAACACACTGTGATCAATATTGATCCACCTCTTAGTTAGTAAACCCTCTTTATGTCCTGACTCCCCATTATCTCTCCTGAACATCCTGTTTGTGAAAGGTAGTTGACATTTTAATCAGTGTCCCACAATGGGACATGCTTTACCCAAAACAATTTAATTATTACTTAAATTATCAGACTATGCTGGTAATTAAATGTACACTATCGGTCAAAAGTTTGGGGTGAGTATGATTTTAAAATGTTTTAAGCTTTTCCTGCTTAGCAAAGCTGCATTTACTTAATCAAAAATACAGTACAAATTGTAAAATTGTGAAATGTTATTGCACAATAAAAGAACTGTTCAAAATTAGTTTAGAATTTCATGTAATAATTTATTCTAGTGATTTTAAAGATGAGTCCCATGATCCTTCAGAAATCACTCTAATATTAGTTATTATGATGATTATTATTTTAGTAATCTTATATTCATTCATCCGGGGTCACCACAGCGGAATGAACCGCCAATTTATCCAGCAAGTTTTTAGCCGCAACTCATCTCTGGGAAGCATCCACACACACACACTCATACTCTACGGACATTTTAGCCTACCTAATTCACCTGTACTGCATGTCTTTGGTCTGTGGGGGAAACCAGAGCACCCGGAGGAAACCCACGCGAACGCAGGGAGAACATGCAAACTCCACACAGAAGCGCCAACTGAGCCGAGGTTTGACCCAGTTCGACCTTCTTGCTGTGAGGCGACACTGCGCCACTGCTTCGCCCATCATTTATTATGTGATGATTTATAACATATTAGCATTGGATAAAGATTAAAATGATAATAGTATTTTGGTTAATTCACTTTAAAGACTTTTAATATATTATAAAATGATTCTTGTTCTAAATATGCCAAGATTGTGGTATATAATTCATTGTTACACTAAATGGGATTTTTCAGGATTTTTTACGTACAAAAAAGTTTAAAGAGTTTAAAGCTGTATTACACTTTTATTGTTTTATTTTATTATGTATTATTATGTATTATTATTATTTTAAATGTAGACTTTAAAATAAATTGTACATAGACCTTAACCTAAAATCTACATATATCAAATATTCACTGCTATGTTATTTGTCAACTACCCATTAACATGTCTCTGATAAAATCTGACAAGCTACTAGTATTTCAGATGAGCTGATGCATACTTAAAAGGGTTTCTGCTTGTGTTTGCCAGCTGCAGTCCCTTTGGCTTTACACACTGGTCATGTTCATTTGGCAGTGTATCATGTGAAAAGCATAATAGTGAGTTGGCAGGTAAATTAGTCATACTTTCCTCCTGGACACACTTATGCTTTGCCCCAGGGAGTCTGACTTTGGATCTACAATGAAAAATGCACATTGAGACATGTTTTTGCTGTTAAACTTGCTGCTTGTGCTTTTACACTTTGTATGTTGTCGGAAGGAAATGTATGTAATATGGCAGCAAAGTGTGTGTTCACTATTGGGATGTATGTTTTAGTTAGCCTGTTATAAAAATGAATTGCAAGTGTATTTGCATTGAATTACCATGATTTATGAGTGTATTCGTGAGATATTTTATAGCAGCAAGGTATACATCCACCATCCAACAATGTGGA